CTATTCTACCGGGTCACTCTTTACGGGCAAAAATATCACATACAGCCAAGCTACAACACTAAATACTCTCTATAGAATCCGACGATAGCAAAATTTTCCTCGCTTCTCTCTCGTTCACCAACCAGCAACAACGGAGACTGCACCACCTACAATCCGGCAAATTCTGCATACGGTTGGGACACTGGTCAGTATTGTTCACTATCCGGTACAATAAGATTTGATTCTACAAAAGTGACTATGTCCATTGCCGCACCAGATGCTACCACTAAGTTCCAATGTGCTAACACGTGAATTCCAATGATTCCACAAGCATTTTTCATTGCTCTAAATTAACTTGCTATACCATAAACCTCAACTGCACAAGCAGTGTACAGTAAGTAGGATGCTGGCGCTCTGTTGGAACCCGATTTATGTGCACATTTGTTCCACTTAGCGAGGTTTTGGAACCGATGCCAACCATGGACCGTTTAAGAAACGTGACGATTAGATCTTCGGGTGGAACATTGGAAACGCTATATTTCTTAAGTATAGGCATGTGCGGACTTCTAAGCAGAAGATTTTATTGTCTGTATGGATACGTAGAATCGAGTGTAGGGTAGACCTGATATATCACAGTCCATTAGCGGTCCTAATGCGAATGGTCTGTGGATTACAACTCATTTCTGGGGTAAACTCTAGGTGTTTAGTGCGCTGAGCCCGTTCTGGGAGCCTGGATATGGCGGTAAAAATTTCCACTAAAATGTCTTGTGTTGTGCTTACTCCGTTTACTGGGTCCGAGGGGTCGATAATCCGGGACAATTCTGTGGGAAATAAATCAATCAAGTTTAGAATGAATATATCAGAAGCCATTTTCAGAAATCTAGAGCATGTATTGAGGGCTAAACTGATTCCCATACTTGCTCTCCACAAACTAATTGCTGTCGTTGGTTGTCATCCATTAGGCTCCGATTTCTCAAGCTGCTTTCCGTGCTCATCTATTGACGTAAATGTGCTAACAGCTGTAAACATGTCAAACGTTTATTCTGCATTTCGTATAAATTAACCTAAGCGGAGGAATGTAAGCAGCGTGCAGCGATTGGAAATTCTAAAGTGGCAGGTGCAAAAATCGATCATTTACAGGATTGTGTGTAGCGGAGATGCTCTTGTTCGTTTTCAAGTCAAATATATAACCCTTATATCGATTTAACCCGAAAATAGTGCCTGAATGTCACCCTGTAGAACATTTTCGTGACTTTCAGCAGGCGCAGCATTGAAGCACTAGCAAGATCATTCCTAGATCCTCAACCTCAAGTCAATGGTTGCAGTGAAACGCTTCGTCACCGAAAATCCTGCGGTTGTGCAACTTGTGGAATTGGCCTATTCGAAGCGAATTACCAAGTCCGCCCGCCCTGAAACACGCTTAACAATATGTGGTCAAGCCTCGGCGCCCGTCATTGTTCGGAGACATTGTTTACTGATTTCAAAATCGTGTAGTACGATCCGAAAATTCATTCAAATCGTTTGATGTGGGGCATGCGTTCGTCAGAGCTGCAGACTAGGCGGTTATTGATTCCAAACAAAAAAGTGGCAGTACTGACTGTATATCGTTTTGTTGCGAGTGGACAACTGACAGTCGCAAAGAGCAATGATATCGTCTGGGTGGTTTCGAATTCACTGGTATGCACTTCGAAGTTCAACCTATCCCATACGTGTCCGTGAAGCCGTGTGGTGCACTACCAGTATTTTAACTGAACCTTATTACTGATGAGATTCAGTAAGGTTGGTTTACACTTTGGCAAGATAACGAATCAAAAAGTAGGCGAAATACGGAGATTATGCATAATTCCTTCCATCTTTCTAGCTGATAATCTAAAATAACTTGCATGAAAAGTACGTTTTGCCAACTGTTTCGACTTTACACTGCAACAATCCAGATGTTGGGGTCATTTGTTTTGAGGATAGCTTTAAGGCAGCTTTGAACTCCGGACAGAAGAGATACCGTGCCCACAAAGTGCCCACCTACAGCGTGGTCATGTGCGTCACGGATGAAACGGGAACTTTCAGGTCAATGAAGTAGGAATATCGCAGCAAAACGAACTCAACTTTGAGTCCGATACCTGCGACGCTGAACTTTTATGAAGATTGCCAAACTGCACATGGGATTATCCTCCAAAAAATTTCTAGCGCTCTCTGACTAGTAGCTTCCGAATACTTTGAGCTCCGCACATATGGTAGAGCTTGATTCGATTGCAAGCAAGACTTCGACTCGACCAGCGCGTTTAAACGTTCTTTTTGGGTCCACCCGGGAAAATCTTCAAGATCAAATCTGCACTTCACTAAGGCAAAACAGGGTTGTATGTGCTAGTGGATAGCGGCAATGTCGCGACTGACCGAACGTCCAGGTAGGATCCATTTGAGACACGTTTTGCGGCCACCTGCTCATGGAGTTTTCTACCCACTGCGACTGACTTTTCGAAACTACGTTCCTGAGCAGTGGTATTGCCTCGAGAAAGCACTGTTCAACACTCACAGCGTAGTCGAGATAACCGTTTGACAAGCCGAAGGGCTTGAAAAGCTTTCATGCTTCTTGTTCTATCTCTTTACTGTCTCGTATCAAATGCGTAGTCACAAGCATTAATCTACACTTTCAGGAGAAAAACTTTAGAAGCGGTGCAGATGACCACGCTGATGATTATCTCGTATCCGTAAACAAAATGGGAGATACAAACGTAGTGGCATGTCAATCAGCAATGGAAGAGAACCGTTTTGAAGTTGGGGGAGGGGCTCAGCTGATGTTCTGAAGAATGCACTTTCGAACTTAGGTGAGACCGGTTGGCTAAAAACAGCCTTACAGGGCACGCTCGGAGTAGAGAGGAATTCAACAGATGGTAGCATGAAAGTAAGTCTGAACTTCTCGCGAAGACCTACTGTCTAGAAAGCCGTACTGACGTGTGCTGCTTCGTTATTCGACTCTTTGCCCGTCCTACGTCTGTCAAAGAACATTTGTAGATAAGACATGAGACCCCATAATTAGACTAACTCACTCGAACAATGAGAACAATAGTTTTTCAACAGGTGTTAAGCAATGCCTCTCCATAGCATGGGATATGTAGGTTTGTCACACCCATGCATCTTGATAACCGGGGTTTTCTGATGATCCAGATGCTTGCTGCGATGCGACTTGGGGGTACTACGAGAACTCTTGAAATCGGGTCACTTCTCGATGGATCGCTAGAACACTTCACCTTATCCACAGGATGGGCTTCTACTGTTGTATCAAAAGACGAGGTGTGACAGTATACAACTAGCGTGGATTAGGAGTTCGAATAAAAAAGGGTTGCGTCAACCATGATACATTACTAAGGAAATGAAACTTTTAAATTTCGTATGTTTTAAGTCAGCCGAGCGTGTCGAAAAGCATCAGAGATCAAGACGATATTGCTTCCGGGGGTTTTGGGCCCATCAAACCGAGCTGTGACTGAATGGCCTAAGTTTTACCTTAAAAAATTCGGTAAACAGTGATGTCGAATTGAATGCTAGGTAAGCAGCGCACTCCGCACCCAATTTAGATGGAACTTTTTAGGTGGGCTACATGATTGATAGTATTCGAAAAAGTAAATAGCAGCCATACGAAAGAAGAATACATCTGTACTACGGTAAAATGCGGTGAAAAGGCGCTAATCTTTATGTTGCTTGATCGATTTAAAAGGAGGCTTAAAAGCTGGGCCGTTTGAACCTCTCCGATCAGACGAATATGGCGGACTGGCAATAGAATCCCAGTTTGTCACTGTTACTCTCGCCTTATAGCTTGGAGACAAAACAAATAAGCACGTTCTACGCTCAGCAGGATACTTGGTGAATAAAGCTGCAACAATAAACATAGACTAACAAAGTGAATTCCGTGTTTCCATGACATCGTGCGACATAACCACCAGGAGAAAGTTCCAGCGTAAAATTCCTGTCACGAAAGACTTGAATGACTGAACATATTGAAACTACGACTGCAACAGTTCGATGATGTTAGGTTATCTAACCGTGAAACTTGTACTTGGAATAATTATGAGTACACGCCGAATCACAGTGACAAATATCAAGTAGATTTCTACACCCCGAGCGCCATTAAAAACTGCATGATACCACGTAAGTGGTATCACAAAAACGCTACGAGCAACTCCTACTTAGTCACGCTGCGGCTCTACTCTCGGACTGATGATGAAGTGCGCCGTTCGGTACGATAAAGATGAGTGGAATATTGGCTAATCAGGCGTGCAAAATATGAAAATAGTGATAACTTTGGGTTAGTTTCACTATTTTGCAATCCCGTGTACATGACTACCAAGGGGTGGAAGACTCAATTCCTGCTTTCGGACTACGTTCAACTGTGAAGGAGACGCAACCCTACACGTTGTGTTAAATCGTGATTGACAAATCCAGGGGAAACTGATAAAAACTCTCGACGTTAAGCCCGTGGATGCCTGGCCAGAGCAGAGTGATACCAAGAATACTGAAAAGGTGATGCAGTAAGTGTTACAATCAGCGAGTCTTTGCAAAATTAGAAATCTAGACTCCGATTAGCCTCTTATGTTTACTTCGCATAGTGAGAAAATTTTGTTTGAAAAAACAAGCGAACATTTTGGAATGGAAACAGACGAAATCGCTTATTTCAAAGGGTCAAGTAAAGCTAGATACTCAACCGATTTCCCCCTCAAAGGAACCCCTTTGAGTGGTTCTTGCTGGAGAACGACCGTCCACAAACCATTTCACGTGTCTTTGCGCAAGACGCCTATTCTATCATGACCGACATGGGAAGGAAAGAGTACTGTTAACAAAAACAGTTGCTCCATAGATGCATGCGTACACATTAACTAGGTACCTCGTCCGTTTGGACTGCATGCTAATCGGTCGCAAACCTTTTATACACAGCGCGAAAATAGCTGAAATGATTTTTCTCCACGGTCCGAAAACATAGTGAACAAATTTAATGAACGAATAATGAAAGTTAAAGCACAAAACGAGGTGAACAGAGACAGAACGTGGCTATGGTCATAAAACTGCGAACTGCGCTCATTACGGCTGATTCGACCGACGTCCAAACAAAGAAAGACTACTGATTCGCTTGTTTGTGGGCAAAACGAACGTCAATAAAGCCATACAAAGGCAGGAGTTTTGGTTTGGCCGGTCACAAAGCAATCCAACATGACCAGATATCCCACAACGTTTACCGTTTTCGTTGAGACCGTATAAAAACCGTACAATATTTCGCCTCGCATGTCAGGTGTCCGGAGTTCAAACCCCGGCACGGCCATTAGATATGCACTGCTGATGAGCTCTAACATGAGTGAAACTCGAGTCCAGTGCTTCCCTCCCTTTGGTGTGGATTCACATGAATAATTGCGCCAGGACAGGAGGACGACTGTTCAAAACGAGAGTGATGTGAAACTGAACAATACACCTCCCGCAAAAACCATCACATGCATTTTGAAATAAGTTACCAACGCGGTACGAATGAGAACCAGATGCAGATGAAAGTTTCCTTCGTGAATAATTTATTTATCGAAGTATTGAAGTGAAATTAAGGAAAACAGAACGAACTCTGAGATCTACAGCCGCGCCCAATATGCAAGATTGACTGATGTAATGAGACCCGGTCAAATATGAAAAGTTCCCGTTATTTCCAAACGGTTTCTGAAGGCTACAGTGACTTCTGGTGTTTGGCCCGACCGCAAGAGATTCCACGATATTCAGGCTAACAGTGGCTCCCGATCGGAATGTTGCAGACTGGAGCGCATCGGGAAGGTGAATCCTGTTCCCAAGCTGAAACGTGAGAGAAAATGTCACCCGGGGAAACCACCAAAGCTTGATTTAGTTCTTGTTTGTTTTTATACCATTCGGATAGTGGGTAAGCCAGTGGAATGATAAGCTATCTACAAGTTTAGGGGCTGACGTTCCTAACACGATTTACTGGGGTATTCTGGAAGTACTACCCAACTGTCCACAGCCGGTTTGTGCTTGCGACCTAGCGGTTACGTGAACCGAAAGGAAGACTAAATAAACAATACCCACCAGAAATCCAAATGGCAGATATAAATATGGATGAAGGGATTAATTGACCACCACTGAGGTCATGCACAACAACATTGGATAAGAAATAATGGGACCACGAAACCAACTGGTTCATTAGCGAAAAACGCAGCTTCTGGGCATCTCAGAGTAGGTCAGCCTATGATTAAAGGTACTGAATCACCAAGAGAGAAAGTGTGTTTAGAATGGATTGTCATGCAGACAAACGATCCCCACTCTAAAGCGATCGCTTACAGCAACATCAATATTAGTACATTGGTACTTGACTGTAGCACTGCCTTGTCACTTTGCTAGGTGAATGAACGGAACAAAGAGATGCTCCGACCATTAGGATAATCTGAATACGAACCGACTAAAAGGACATCACAGGGTGACTGCCGTATATTGGAACGAGTCTAGCGAAATACAAGGAGAATCAAACGAGTGTTACCCATCAGTGAGGAAAACCGTTCGGGTTCAAGTAGATCATAAGGTTGACGGAAACTCGGGGACTGCGCCTACCTGATGAGCCCCAAGAAGGGCGAAACCGGTCGCGGGATGTCGAGGAGTTTTCAGCAACCTTGTGAGTAGTTTCCTTTATGAAAACTTTACCCAGTTTGAGATTTTTTACGAAAAAAACTAAGCGTTATTTCAGACAAAACTCAACGGACCAAATGGTACGGTTGTTCTGTGGCTTACCCGTAACTCGACGACAATAATTCACTAAATCCAGTACGGGTCGTTAGTTTATTACCGCTTCTAATGGCTACAGATCGATGCTCCAAAAGTAGCAATGAGATTCACCCGCATATATAAGCACATTGGAATAACAAATGTAGAGATATCGACCGACCAGTGGGTGTCAACGCGAACACCACAATCATAAATTATAAGTGTGTATGCGAAATCAGCTGAGAGGTGCGAATTCGGCTGACTTGAATCATCATAACATGAGGAGCAAAGTGATGTGATACAATCATTTTCCTGTGGAAAACGACCATGAATAGAGTACCGACGCAGTACCTACCTACAGTAGTGAGATAAGCGCATATGAGCACCAGATCGACAGAATGTACCACCACCAATGAGATTGACGTAAACTGCCTTGCGGAACCCACCCAAAATGTGCTGAGCATACAAGGAGAGATGAAATTAAGCTTAGTCCGACTAGAAATTGATTGCATTCATGTCACTGAAATCGGTAACACGCTGTCTTCCGTAGCACGCGCGGGGATAATCACATGGATCTCAGTCACGAGGTCACGAAGATCCCGCTACAATCAGTTTCAGAATCCGCTTTCATTTTACGTCGACAAGTCACAGCCTAGCCTTGGCAACAAGAGTTCTGGATAGGAAACAGTGCTTTATTTGGTAGATGAGGATTGGCAATGGGTGGTGCGCGCCGCAAATACTTTAATCCGATTAGTATCATTTACTGCTCTGGTAATTCTGATTTACCACGAAGCATTCATTTTCACTAAAGATAGCCCAGTAGTTAAGGCGCAAACATACTGACCGGAAGGTCCGTGTTTCGAACCCGACTATCTCAGCTGCTCTTGTCTAGGCTCGCGCAACCTGACAGTATCGCAGTTCCTGTGCCTTCTCTGGGTAGCATGGCCGCTGGGTAACGCACGGGTGCTACAACTGGGTGACCTCTCACCCTAAATTCGGTTACACAAATTCATTATGAAAAATCTGCTCAGCTAACGCTTGTTATGCTGCGAGGACGCCAGTGGTCAAACGTCGGAAGTGATTTGAAGGCAGCAAATCGGGAGGGGGGTTTTCACAACCACAGAGTTAAACTGACTTCCCGGATGCCTAATAAACACGGTGTTTATGACGCCATAAGTGACGCAAGTTCGCGAATTTCATTTGAATTAGTGCATGCAATAAATCTTTCAGTCACGAATTATGAAACTGCCTAGATAAAAAAACCGGCATAAAACTCAATTTCCTCTACCTGAAGTTTTTGAAGGATACTGGGGCATTGAGAATCCTGAAACAACACATGACCGCCCGTTGCCAAACGGTAGAGTTCCAACAACTACCAGGAGAATCCCTGGGGTTTCGCGAGGAGATGCGCGCTGCTGATGATTCCCAATTAGGGCGAAACAGCTGCAGTGCATCTCAGCTTTTCATTACAGTTCTGCTGTAGCACCCTTTCAGGGTCTAGCTGCCATGCCACACGAAGGAGGCACGAGGGCTGGGATAATGCCAGGTTGCCGAAGCCTAGACAGAAGTCGAGAAACAGAGGTCGGGTTCGAACCACGGACCTTCTGGTCAGTATGCTTCCCACTTGGCCCGCCCACTTTCACTTACAGTACGAAATGTTTATTTTGAAAAACGTGGCATTGAAGGTGCAAAACGTATTCTAGAACAAAGGAAAATATACGCTGGATAAATTTGGGTTCGGGTCACGGTTTTCTTAAGTATTTGAGTACTTTAACTCAAACATATAGTAAACCCAAAACAACCCATCCGAAGATAGGTCAACAGCAAGCATTTCCAATGAGATATTTGTACTTTTCATCTCTTTAGAGATAAACGGGGAGGGGTTTTTTCATCAAAAGTAGACCTGACCATTTGTCGAAAGCACACATTTCAAAGGCCGTATGACACTGGCTCAGTTACGGAACGCAAGCTGATTGACGATTTCTAGACAATCCCAACCAGGTTAACTTAGCTGAGCAGCAGTCTCGAATTAAAAAAACAGTCACCCTGACACCAATCGATGAGCGGCTAGCTTGTCCTCGAATAGCAATAGACGACTGTGGTTTCTTTGAACCTTCGACGTAAACATCCGTAATTATGTGATAGACACTCAGGCTAGAATGTCTACGCTCAGCTTACTGATTGTAAAGAGTCTATCGAGCGTTCGTGGAGAAGCAAGGAGTCTGGAATCCCACGGACTGTTTCAGATGGCCTCTTGGCTACCATCGCACCTCCAAAGTCTACTGATGATGCTGATTGTAGAGGCCTAAGTAATGTTTGGGTTGCAGAATGTGGCACTGGCAATTTGAACTTGGAACTCGCTACATTTGAGACTGATGCCAGCACTTGAAAGGTAACTTAGAGCATGATACTACAATAATTCATCAAGGTTCTCTGGAAAACAAAATAGAAACATATGACCCCTACACTGCATTACCAACAGTTCTTTACGCCACTGAGGAACTTTTAAGCAATGGTCCTAAAAATTCTGGTTCCTAATAGGGGAATTCGGCATGAGTTGTAATAAACTTATATTAGGGGAAGAGCCCAGTCAGATGTTGTTTACCTTCTAACAAAATCCTTTGTCAGTTTTTGTGCAGCTTACGACGCTGGGTCATTTACATTCCACCTAAAGAGAAGTCACCCCTAGGGAATGGAACCAAAAAACTTCCCAAATAGTGATTTCTGTATGGTAAGCGTTCAAAATCTCTCAATTATTCCGTTATAAAGCCTATTTAGGGGTTACAGCCCAGCTAGTTACTGGGGGCACGATACTCCCAATACCTAAGGAAAGCGATATTATCCTATCGATCGGAAAATGTGGTCCCTCGAGATAAGCTCGAGATGCCTGTGTTTACTGAGCTTGAGATAGCTCAGTGGTGCGAAGACACTGACCAGAAGGTTTGTGGTTTAAATCCAGCCTTGGCATCTCGACTGTCTAGGCTTGAACAACCTGGAAGTATTTCAGCTCTTGTGCTCCCCTCGGGTGACGTGGCGGATTCACTGTGGAGCTACACTGATGAACAGTATTCTCTATGGGATATTTTACTATTTTTGAGGCTGCCCGTTTGGAAGCACCGGTTAAGCGTTCGCTAGGGAACCGAAGTGATGGAAATTAGCACCAACTGAAATGATTATGACATGTGTAAAATCACCCAGGTACACCGAAATCTTTACTAAACGGGATCCTCTATCGTTTCCGAATCAGTCTCCACTAACAGAGCTCTTAGCCGAATAGTTGATAGTTAACTTCAGAATTACAGCTATTGATAATCCTACATATGGCGTCTTTTACAACCATGAGGTTCTCGCCAGTTATGGGCACTAACAGCCATTTAAACCATATCTTCCGATAATTCAACTTTGGTTTATTACAACCCCGACAGCCACTAGTGTCAAACCGATGTGCAATTCGGTCGTACAGTCTTTGGTTCTTGCCTAGTATACCAACCATTTGCACTATACCACCATCTGAGTGATTCCAAAAAAGTCATCACATGTCAATAGGGCAACACCAACCAGGCACCGTATTCTTCTGTAACGTAGTTGAAACTCGACTGTATCTGCTTGCACGTCTATCACATGACCTTATGTGTGCCTCTCCCTCACTATTGCAGGTGCCACGGACGAGCCACCACGAGCCCCAGGCAAGAAAGAGTAGCCCGCCGGCGCTTGCACGTCTATCACATGACCTTATGTGTGCCTCTCCCTCCCTATTGCAGGTGCCACGGACGAGCCACGACGAGCCCCGGACAAGAAAGAGTAGCCCGCCTGTACGCCCCCCCCTGATTGACCTTGACCTAACTTTGTACCCCCAGACTTCCGGTTTCGGTTGAATACACGTGTGTTGTTGCCATGTTCCGACCTTCTTTCCTGTGTCACCCGACTTGTGCGAATGTGTGCCGTGTGGATTCAGTACTATCAATCTCTATATCTGCACATTTCAGAACCGACGCGTGCCGTCGCTACATCCTCGTGAACGTCGAATACCGCTGACTTCCTGAAGTCCCAAGCTACACTTCCACCTTGGTCATTTCTCACCATCCCTGTTCATTACAACAGGAGCGATTTTTTGTTAGTGGAGTCAAGAAGCAATAGGTCGCAACGGCAGTTCGCAATCACAAAGTGTGCTGTAGTGACAGATTGCTCATAGAGTATGAACAACGCTTGCCCGGAGAGGGAGCCACGTTCGTTGTTCCCGGGGTGCTGTAGCCGAAAAATGTAACTAAGCCCAAGCAATACTTGTACGGGGGTGTGGCTGGGGGCATTGAAAAGGACCCGAGAATCAGAAAAACAAGAGTGGCATATCACCTTGGACTCCAGTAGTCTTAGTCACATTTACAGCTATATTGGTAGCATCATGGGACCGCGTAACAATGCACTTTACTATGTCCCCAGACCACTGGGGTGCGTGTTAGACATACGCTATGAAACACGGTCAGTCCAACGCTATTTCGCTTCGATGACATGTAGCTTACCAGATTGTTACCAGAAGCAACACATGGCAAGATAGCTATGGCACTGGCTCCACATAAACTTTGTCTTAGAGGCACGCAAGTGCACAAACCGACAAACTAAGTGACTCCAACCTCCGCTCTCAATAAAAGACAAATTGGGTAAGCACTGCGTTAACCATAGATAACGAACCTTGAGAATAGCGGGAAACACCATAGCCTCCATTCATTTCCAAACACTTGCGCCATATTCTGTTTCACACCCAAATCGAACGAGTCCCTCCGACTAGCATCACGAAAAATGGGAGGTCGGTGAAATTCTAAAACAAAACGAAAGGGAAAATGCTCCGGTTGTATAGGAGAAAACACACCCAGAGTGAGTTTATTCTTCATCACAAGTATCATCTGGAACCCCAACAAGATGCCCACGGCGAGAGCAAAAACCAAGGCGATAATAAATAGAAAGAAAGCATGCATCCCACCAGTGCTGAGGTCCAATTGTCCCTGAAAGCGAGCAAGTTATTGAATAGGACAACTAAAACGTACCTGGATCAAAAGTCGAACGAAAGGAAAACTAGCCAGTGAGCATAGCAGACAGTAGCAGATCGCATAGAACAGAAAGAGGACAAAGTACTTCTGATTGTGAAAGCCCACACAATTGTTGATCCATGGGCAATGGTGATCCATTTTAGGAATGCATCTGAACAAGGAGTGATGTGGGAGGGGCAAAAAACGTAAAAGCCTACTTCTCACATGTGGAACAATGGTGAGTACGGTCTGGTTTAATGAGAAAGCAAATATCACAAAAGGGAACAGTCCCCCGCTTGTTATGCATGGTGATCGGTAAGGATTTCTGGACAACCAGTCGTTCTAAGTAGTCAACACGTCCGTCATCACTGTCCATGTCAATGAATGTGACAGTTTCCAATGCGGTCAAATGAAACTACGGAGTTTCAGAAAGCGAAAAACCATAGTACCTCTTTTGGGATGGGCTGAGCACGTGCAAGAATCGACTGCCAAAATGTCCATACAAAGAGAATGGCGATCGCGTGATAGAAGAGAAGAAAAACAACTAACAGCATAGGTGATTTACAAGATAAGGGCACACTTACTTGAACAAGAAATATTCGGAATCCGACCTGTTGCACAAGAAAAAAATGGTAAAGCAGAGTGCAAGGAAAGGGCTTACCAGTGCCTATAATCAGGACCACAACATAGTAGGACCAGCCGATGAGTAAACAGAGTAGAAAAACAGGGATGCTGGTCAGAATGTTCGCGAAAAATCGTCCACATGTTTTCAGCCACATTTCATGCAGCTGAAAACTTGTTCACATCAGAAATATTTCCACAAATCACAGCATGTTTGGTTCTGAAATAAGTACAAAAAATTTGGGTAGTACAGGAAGGAATCTTGGAGCGAAGAGAACCGGATAGAAAACCCTTCAAGATTGGGATTGCAAAGTATGGTTCCCTAGAAGTTCGGACGTACTATAGTCAGCACGTATGACCAGTAAAGTGCGCCTGACAGACCTGGTAGATCAAGAACATCACCAGGCAAGAAAACAATCCTCAGTAGTGCAAAATATCTGTTACTTAACCCCAAATGACAGTGCCTTCAAGTTCGACGGCTAATCTGGGTTGGGAACACGACGAATCGAGTCTTGTTCTCTAGTTCCTCAAACTTCACTATTAGCTGTCCGAAAAGCAAAGAAAATGGCCGGTTTTTTGGTCCGGTCTGAACAGTGCAGCTAGTCCTTTCATTTTAACTAAAATAAACATTCCAGGCACGATAACCGTACCATATAAATCTTTGGGAGAATACGTGGCGAATAAAGACGCATACCATTGTTCACAACCAAATCTGCCAGTTCAATAGTCGGATGCATAACTGAACACCGGTAGACAGACAGTAAACCAATTCTGAAAGAAACACAAAGTGGCGACACAAAAGACCGATCAAGGATAGGGTGGGAGGGTCAGCACATTAAAATTCATACATCACAGACAGCTCTTCTGGTAGCCTTTGAAATGGCTAAAACTGAGAATATACCTGAAAAGAGAGGCACTAGAACGCACCGGAACATTCACCTGCAAAAGATCGACTAGGCAGAACCAACGGATGGATTTGATCGCGCGAGGTAATTAGCATATTTCGGTGGTGTAACCTGTGTGCATCGTTCCATTGAAGGGGAAGGCGACTTCGTGGAGTCAAAGAAAGCAGAAAGTCATTGATGTCCCGTTGGGTGATTCAGTCACCTGTTCCCTTTCCAGAGTTGACAAGTTAGTTCTCCAGTCTGCGGAAATTGCATTCAGACCTTTCAGTTGTAACTAATCAAGGTCACAAGTTTGGTTTTCGGCTATTTTACCAAAACAGTTAATATCGCTTCGTGCCTTTAAAGCACATTACTGGTAAGTCGAGTGAACAAGACAAAACTTCAAACCCGAGTAGCTCTTCTACCAGCGTGCAAAATTTCAGTGTCCATAGCAACCCGGGGTAAAAACAGGGCGGCTCTGATACGTTGTGTTCCTCAGGTTGCCTGGGTAACAACTGAATTAATGGTTATTAAATAACTTAAGAGAAACGGTACATCTCAGGGCCGTTAAGCATAAATAAATAAATGATAAACAAAACTAGCATAAGATAAACACTAAAAAAGAATCTGGTTGCCAGATTTTTCACTAGAATACTCATAGCTGGGTAAGCTTATTTGATAAAAAGTAAGGGTCAGAATCGGCTTAAAAGTTGGGAATCACCTACCTTTACATTGGTACGGAAACCTAAATGATAACAAAACTAGCATAAGATAAACACTAAAAAAGAATCTGGTTGCCAGATTTTTCACTAGAATACTCATAGCTGGGTAAGCTTATTTGATAAAAAGTAAGGGTCAGAATCGGCTTAAAAGTTGGGAATCACCTACCTTTACATTGGTACGGAAACCCTGAATCAAACCTCTTAGGATGGGATGCTCAATGATGATACACAGTCAACTCAAGCAACGCTTAAAAACGGTTCACTATAGACCCAAGCATTTTTTAGTTCCAACAGAGTTCACTTCACAACTTCACGAATTCCTTGAGGAACGCGACCCATGCGTCTCGAAGGTGCGGAAACCGCTTGAATAATGGACATAAGGCACTTGGATATATCTCTTGGATCCCGAGTGGGTGCGCCGCCAAAATACCCAATATGAAGACATGATGCTGATCCGAATAAAAGAAACGGAACTGACCCGCGAGGGGGAACAGCCTTATAGAAGAAAAATGCGAACTATCATCATTTAACGTCACCCGACATTCGCCTCATCTCGTGGAATGAGTTCATATTGTTAAAGTGTTGATGCAGCGAAACAACTTGAAAGAAAACGTCTGGTTGAACCTCTGATGAAGCCTCAGAGCGATTCACTCCGTACCAATGGTACCGAAGAGTCACAGCGATGTTCGCTATCACGACCGAGTACCAGTCGTTTCGGTGTATCCGTCTCTGAGCTTGCTTCAACTTCATCTTCACAAGTTGGCTAAAGCGTAAACTTGCAAGTACTTTGTCCATTCTTTCAAGTACGATACGGAACAGTGTGGTTGAAAGCTCGAGTGAGGACAAACCACAGTAAGACCTACTATTATTAGCAACGTAAACGGATTCATACCCGACATATGACAAATTCAATATCGCCAAGTTAGTATACGTCCTTATCGTTTCTCACTACGATGCATGAGTAGGAAAATGTGGATAGACCTACTAAAGACACCAATACCTCCAACCGTCAGATTGATCAAAAACTGACAGCAATATGCAGCTAAAACAGACAAAGCAACATAGTAGTCGAGCACTAGAAGATTCCCACAAATTAGCCTATTCTCTTAGCAACTTCAGGGAACAACGAGTATTGATTAAGCTTTGTAGTTTGCCATGGTACGAAAACTACACAATCTTGATTATTCGGCAATTAAAGAAACAAAACCGCCATCAGAGTAGTATGACTCCCAAAAAGCACCTGACTCAGGAATTCGCAAACTACTGTCACCAAAATAAGAAAGCAACGCAATATGGATTGGTCGATATTCTGAAGTCAGTGCAAAGATAGACACACTGGATGTGTCGTTCAACGAACACAAGTGACAGCGAACACCATTACTCGCAGTGCATGCGCTATTTAGTGACAAACATGGGAGCAGCAATGGCACGACCCAAATTCAAAGTAAAGTAGCACTCCTCATGAGCTCGTTTCCAAGAGACAACCTCTCCCGAACTAGGATAACTCCCGTCCAGTCTCATGAGGTTTGGCTGAGAGACTGCCTGTTCCAGTACCACCACGGTGAAAAATACCAATCCAACAAAGACCAGAATCCGAGACCGGTGCACTGGGCTCTTATGTGCATTCACGCCAACCAAACGAATCAAACTCTCCCAATCAGGGCTGTGGGTCGCCTGCCATCCGATTTCAATTCGTATGGATGAAATCTCCTTGCCCTGTAACCTTTCAGATGGGACCATCACAGGTTGATCCTTTGAGAGATCTTCGGAGGTTTGAATCGTTCCTGGAAAAGATCCCTTTAGAGGTATCCAAATAGGCTGTTTGAGGGAAGGGGAAAAAGTGAACTACAATTTCCTGCCACTTGAAATGACTGAGCAGAGGCGATCTCTTATAAAACCCGAAGGTTGCACGAGGGCTGCGATACTGCCAGGTTGCCCAAGCCTAGACAGGGGAAGTCGAGAGGCGCAGGTCGGGTTCATCAGTTTGAAAGGATACTATCATACAGTTATTCTGTCTCAAAGGGCTGACTGAAAGCGGCCTCTGCTGTAATTTGGTCTCCCAAGCAGGAGAGCTTCTTTTACGGACCAAAGAGTGGTCTTCTCTCAGGGGGGACCCTGCAGAGACAATTGAAATTAAACAAAAACGAGTTTGCTATCATTAGCACCGAAAGCTGCAAACCATATATACATGTTGTAGAGTGGTTATAGCCGTTACACGCGTTCGCCGATTATCTCCTGGGTCCCAGAGTGACAGTGAAATTCTGCTTAAGATCGGAAGGGCAGGCTACATAGTGGAAGCAACAATTTGGATGTGTCCAAGCCGTTGAGCGCGCGACAACAAAGTGCACGCCACTGTCCCATCTCGAGGTCCCTATTCAGCAAGGCCGCAATGAACAGCACAGCCGAGTTTGTCGCAATGGTATTAACACTTCACTGTTACTGCTTGATCCTCTGTAGCTCATTTCTGCTCGTTGAAATGTCACGCAAAAAGGGCTGTCTGAGAAACCCGACCGACTAATGTACGAAGCACATAGTCAGCTCAGCTCAAACACTACGGAGTTTGGCCAGCCGATTCATTTCTTCCGGAAACCATTCGGCGTACTACGACACTGCTGATTCGACGTTAAAACTAGACTAATGAAATGGTCAAACACTGCAAATTTTTCAATATCTTCAGGCTTCTAACCCACATAACACATACCCATATAATCCACACACATAACGTAATACCATAACATAACAGCGCAGGAGTGTGAGATAAGTCTGTGCCATGCGTAAAGTGGCTTCCCAAAAGGTGCCCTTACCTTCCCAATCGCAGAGGACAGTACGACTTTACCCCCAGGTCGCCTCGTAGCACGATTACCTGTAGTTTACTACTTCTGGTGGACAAATGAGCTCTACATTTCAACCACTCGTATGCCCTATCTCCATGAAATGTGCAGTGGACCAGCTAGACTGACGTAAGAAGAGCTCGTTCCATTTAATCAATCAACGTTTCTGTAAAATGTCCTTTTTAAATGCATCGTTTCAGTGACGATGCCTTGCTCTGGCCAGTCGATCGAATTAAGTGGTATAAGGGACGATTATCTCTGTTCGTTGTACAGAGAAGTTGAACCAGTTCAGATCAATGACGCTAAGCTATGACGGGGCTCCGAAGATGATCGATTGACATGCCTGTTGCTGATTTGAGAATTGACAATAAGTGACAATTGCCAGAAGGGCTTACATTAAAGCGTGGTCGAAATCAAGCTGTGTGACCCATAAGGAACGGAAGTCTTGAATCATGGGTCTTCATCGGTGGGCTGATGGCCACAATTCGACTGAGTCCAGGGTTGACTAGCACTAAGTGGTCGTCGGAGTATAAGAATATCAGCGTTTGTGTTGGAAGTGCGTGCTGACCAGAAGCAGCTGAGGGTCAGCACACAAATGGAAGGGTTGCTCCCCGTTACCTGTGCGGCGAGCACCAACTCCGAATCGACTACTCAGATGTGATTCCAAAGGGCACTCATGTTACGCGCAAAGACAACGCCGGTCCTTAGTGCCCGATGAATAAGTCCGGAAGATCCTCCACAGCAAGTGCCCTGAGAGTCCGAATGGCAGTCCTCTGAGGATTCAGCTAGCACTACAAACAGGCATGTTCTATGTCGTTGCATTAAGCTTGAATGGGTTGGATAACCAAATGGTGCAAAAACCACCGTTCACCGAATCCGAGTTATGCAAACCGCGTTCAGCCCTGGGAGTGAGTGCAACGCCCACGTCAAATATTTCACAACCAAACGCCTCTTGAGCGTCAAAAACATGAGTAAAATGACAGAAGGCCGAGTTCGTCCTCGTTGCTCTAAGGATCACGGTCATGCTTGAATCTTGCTTGCTTCGAGGTCCCGGGGGCGAAATGGCCCAAGCGGCTAGAGCGCGAATTTACTGACCGGAAGGTCCGTGGTTCAAACCCGACCTCTCGACTTCCCCTGTCTAGGCTTGGGTAACCTGGCAGTATCCCAGCCCTCGTTCAACCTTCGGGTGGCGTGGCAGTTAGGCACCTGAAGGGTGCTACAGCTGAACGTTTCTTTCTTTTCGGGGTCACAGTAGCTTTGAGAAAGTATAAGGTCTGGGCGAGCAACCCCGAATTAGGTATCTGAAGACCATCGCACCACAGAACTCAAACCACAATATCACCTGACAAAGTCACACTCTAAGAATTAGTATCAACACCCGTCAAACATTTAATAACTGTAAAATTAACGCAGCTCTAGATAACCTCAGCCAATCTCTAGACGGAGCGTCGACAACAGGGGGGAAATAGAATTCGGACAAAAAACGAGAACTTTTGGTGCATTACCAGGTGAAGTTTGTAAAATGATGACTTCCTAACGGGATTTTCCCAACTTTTACCATGGTGACGGTTTTAGCGGACTATAAAGGTGAGCCACAGAAGAGAGCTGTTTTGAAAGAGACAAAACATCTATGTACTAGCTTCAATTTAGCAGTGTTATTATCAAAATGTAGAGCACGAACATTATTAACTGTCCTACGGTTGATAGTGGGTATTACGCTCCCGCAAAAGCTCCCTTACCATAACCAGGTAGGTCGTCTTCAATAAGTAGTCTTCGAATAGATGATCCTTCATCTCCTTCGGCAAACACTTACAACGGCTATCTGGGTGTAAGGTAACTAACGACTACAGGGGCCTCATATGCCTCTTGAAGGCCACAGAATAGGAGTCCCAGTTAATAAAAGTAAGAATAAAAATACACTGAGATGATGGAAATGCAGAAGATGCCGCTAGACGGTTCGCATAGTTAACAACGAGTCCAGGACAACATAAGAAACACACACTGTGTATCACCAATATTCTTCCGACTAATGCACTCCAGAGGACTCCGGTTTTCACTCGAATCGACATGAATAATGTTCCTGCATTTTGCCACATTGTGCAAAAACTATGTTACCTTTTAAACAGTTGTGTTGGTTTTAGAAACAACTGGACTTCAGCTAGAAGTATCCTGTATAAGCTATCCAACTGACAAACCATTTTTCAAAGTGCAGCTTTACATTACGCGTCATTATTATTGGAACTAAATTTGGCAATACGCTGTACATATAAAGAGACAGTGTGGAATTCGTTAGTGCGCCAGAATGAATGGTTGATGATTCTCAGACTCTTTACAGTCTCCATGGAAAGTTTGGTGAATGAAAAGACGCGGGACTGAGGTTTACAGATTATGAACAGGCGGCATGTGTGATCACTCTTGAAAAACGCAGTCCACAAGGAGTTTCGCCATAGCCGGGGTTCACCAGATGAATTTAGCGGGCCAGATCACTTGATGCCCAAGCACAAAGTTCAAATAGTGCAAGTGGATAACAAACGTCAGGTTACATGATCCACATTTGTCCGTGACTCACTGAAAACAATTCCCATCGACCCTGAGATTTTGAACACATAAGATGTCATTTTCAATCGAATCGCGTTAGGAGGACTACGTCTAAACGAATTAACGATGTCTTGTACACTAAAACCTTGTTTCTACATTTCAGCCTCTCGCTGACATGCTACTAAACTGTTAGCTCTCTTATATTGTGGTTCAGTTGAATTCCATATCGAGGAACGATCCGCTTGCTTGCAGTATAACTTCCTCGAAGTCGTTTGTCTTCTCTATTCTTGTGAACTAACGAGTCTGACTGATACCCAATCGGTTCAGTGCTGTCCACTTTAGAGCAAACAACATGAACACCACGAAATATATCCCAAGTCCAGATGTTCTGTTCCCGGTTGGCTAGGGTGTACTGTGTGCGACTCCATCACGCTGCTGACCCCTCGGCTGGTAGGTCTTCATTACACTGCAGTTCTATGCAGGCCGTATCTATTTTGCGCGCACGTGTACTGTTAAAGGTAGGGTGAGCATCGTCCAATCAAGTAAAGTCCGAAGTAGTTGGGCTCGTTTTACCTTTCCACCGAAATCAATACACAACCTTATTACTTGGGTACATTTCGCTGACAATTTATCACGTTTTCATGATCAGCACAAAGTGCCCGACAAAAATCCCGCTGACTAGTTAACAACTAACAGTATGTAACCAAAAGAAAAAATGATTAGTCCTGAAAAGTTACGCATAACTAATAATACTCCATAACGATGTTGAACCACAAGCTAAGCGAAGTCAACCACCACATCATTCTGAGACAGTGATGGTCACACTTTTAATACTCAACGGAATTAACGATGTACACTAAAACCTTGTTTCTACATTTCAGCCTCTCGCTGACATGCTACTAAACTGTTAGCTCTCTTATATTGTGGTTCAGTTGAATTCCATATCGAGGAACGATCCGCTTGCTTGCAGTATAACTTCCTCGAAGTCGTTTGTCTTCTCTATTCTTGTGAACTAACGAGTCTGACTGATACCCAATCGGTTCAGTGCTGTCCACTTTAGAGCAAACAACATGAACACCACGAAATATATCCCAAGTCCAGATGTTCTGTTCCCGGTTGGCTAGGGTGTACTGTGTGCGACTCCATCACGCTGCTGACCCCTCGGCTGGTAGGTCTTCATTACACTGCAGTTCTATGCAGGCCGTATCTATTTTGCGCGCACGTGTACTGTTAAAGGTAGGGTGAGCATCGTCCAATCAAGTAAAGTCCGAAGTAGTTGGGCTCGTTTTACCTTTCCACCGAAATCAATACACAACCTTATTACTTGGGTACATTTCGCTGACAATTTATCACGTTTTCATGATCAGCACAAAGTGCCCGACAAAAATCCCGCTGATTAGTTAACAACTAACAGTATGTAACTAAAAGAAAAAATGATTAGTCCTGAAAAGTTACGCATAACTAATAATACTCCATAACGATGTTGAACCACAAGCTAAGCGAAGTCAACCACCACATCATTCTGAGACAGTGATGGTCACACTTTTAATACTCAACGCTACATACATAACCCAGCGGCTCATAAGTTGTATACTTCATCCTCCTTTCTGTTTCACACAATCAATATCAACATATCAGCTGTAAACCACTAACCATGAGTACATTCGTTCCAGCTGCTGCAGATTCCATCACCGGAAAGTGGGAGTACGTGGGCGATGCAACCAAACATTAGAGGCAACGTTCAGTAAGTTCGGGAACTGGGCAGTTTAACATTGAATATGATAGCTTCGATACCCTAGGACCACTGACTGAGCCATGTCTGCCCGTGTCACTAACCATCGGTGAGTTGAGTCCCTGGGTCCGCATCGAGAGACGCGGCAGTTGTCAAACTGCCTGAGTTGACTGGTCGGTGTTTTCATACTTCATTGCCAAGTCATACACTCTCCATTGCTTCAGCACAAGGCTGCACAAAAGAGCTAGGCGAGGTGGAGGTGCTCCGGCGTACAGAGTACATGCCCTAGCCAGCGAAACCTACGAGGCGCAAGTAATTCATCTATCGTGGTGGAATTTCCTCATCCCAAAACCATCTAACGTACCTCAGCACTGCTAACCGGGTGTTCCCACCAAATCTGACCAATGGTTCGGAGTCACCGATGGTCAAAACCTGACGGCTTTCGTATGTCCTCCTCTCGTAGAGGCCAAGTTTCAGGTCGATAAAGCGGTGTGGATCGCACTATTGCAGTGTAAACTCTTCTTGAAGGACAAGCTAACGACACGTTGGCGGTAGAGGTGTCGGAGGTTGGCAGAAGCTGCCCTGACCTTACCCTGCCCTGACGCATCTGAATTTTCACGTCTGAAGAGGCGAACATGTTCACACTTGAGCGATTTGATGAAAATTTCTCTGCCAAGTCGATTAGGTATGATGCCATCCAGCCTTGCAGCAGCACTTAGCACTATCAGGTGTGAAGCGCATGTCAAACCACGCGACATTATTATTCAAGTTATCTAAACTGCAGTTTTGGGGTTTCGCGGGATAGGTATTTTGTTCACAGCCACACCACTCTCGTTTGAACTGTCGTCCTCCTGTTCTGGCGTAATTATCCGTCCTCCTCTCGTAGAGGCCAAGTTTCAGGTCGATAAAGCGGTGTGGATCGCACTATTGCAGTGTAAACTCTTCTTGAAGGACAAGCTAACGACACGTTGGCGGTAGAGGTGTCGGAGGTTGGCAGAAGCTGCCCTGACCTTACCCTGCCCTGACGCATCTGAATTTTCACGTCTGAAGAGGCGAACATGTTCACACTTGAGCGATTTGATTGGCGTAAGTGCTATTAAATCCATCTGACGAATCCAAATTGAAGCGAGAAAGGGAAGTTCATTAAAATCTTCAAGCCTGAAAATATTCACAGAAATGTGGCAACACAAATCGTATGGAACTTGATATGAGAATCAAAGCCCTCGGCGGTACACTCATAACGAGATCATCATCATTATCAACAGCATGACATCAGTGTTCAACACTGATGCTTCACTGCCGTAGGAGAGAAGCGCTTCATCAACTGATCGTTTTTCTGGATACCAACGTTGTTCATAGAGAAAGAAATACAAGATGGCAATTGCTAGATAATTGGCGAACCCAGTTAATTCGAAAATTCGAGGGTCCAGTACTCATGGAAATCACACGAGGGCTGTAAGCAAAAAGTTAATCGGCTTTTATATTGGTTTAAGGAAAGATGACGACGAACTCTTCCAAAAATTAGGTGGATGAAATCCAACGACATTCGCACCTAACGCGGTACCTGAATATAAGTTGAACGTAATTTAGTATTTTAAACATAAACATATTGTCTTGGATGGGTGTCTGGCTTGGGCTCACGAGCAGACGCGGTGGCAGACTAGGTCCTACAACATCCCCTGGGACGACAGGCATCGATATAAGATAGTAAAGAAAAGTAGGCATTTACGTACGAAGTGCGAAGAACACGACAAAGGTTCTATAGTAAGGACGAGGTGTGCGGTGAAGGATACTTAACTGATTCCAAAAAGGGCAGGATTAGTTCCCACTTTGACTTTCCGATCCACATTGTCAGTTTCTCTCCAGTCCTTTGCAAACAGTCGACCAGCTTGGCACGTGACTTGAGGTCAACAGAATAACGCTGACGCACTTCAATCCGACTCGAACCTATCAATGAACCGTCAATCCAACAGTGCCAGGCACAAGCCGAAAATTTGTGAACAAAAGTGAGTAAGTTATGGATTGCTGGAAATGTCGAACGCATTCTTTCAAAAGTTGCATGCTTGCGGGACGAAACCAGCTCTGAAGCACCTGCAAATTTTAATTTCATCAGGATGTCACAAAGTGAATCAGAAATGAGCGTGTACAGGATCAACAACTGATTCAAGCGAACCAGCAATGCGGCCGGCTTAGATGACCAAACCGAGGGACGATCTGAAGATGAGAAGGACCACGATCCAGCAAGTTCCCAGAGATTCGTCATGAGATATGGGAATGAAGGACCCTTTATGTCGCAAGTCTGGTTCGGAAACCATTGATTCGTCAAAGATTCGAAGCGATCGTAATTAAAGATCTCAGTGTAGAGAATTTCCGGATGATCGAGAAATTCACTGAGACGGTTTGCGAGGTGTAACCAGTTGCGAGCAAATTGCGCAGTAGGGTGAAACTCCAGCTGATAGGATGATAGCCAGTCTGTAGGTAGTTGGTGGTAGGTAGGTAGTGGTGGTGTCAACGTCTGTGCCGACAGAATCGCCAATAAACAAGCTCTCATAAGTATAGCACTGCATTTGAAACGATCATCGATACCGTCCCAGGTGAGCGCAGTCTGATGGATCACAGGATACCGTCGAATGAAAAATTCCCCGTGACTAATTCTATCTTTCAACCGTGGACCATTCTCTGAGCACAAAACATCTAACAATACGGCTAACCCACGTAAATCACCACATCTAGCAGAGAACTGTGAAAACTGGTCTTGTGTCACCGGTCGTCCTAGCACTGTGTCTGTTTTGAATTCCAGAATACTATCCAGGGTTAGAAAGAAGCGGTGTTCTGCACTCTGACAGAGTTCAGGGGCGCCAACGGCAGCGGCGAATTCACAACGCAGGATTATAGACAAACAAATAAGTGAAAGACAAAGAGCATCCAAATATCTTGGTTCAGGGCCATCAAACAAGGTGTCCAAGTGGGAAAAATATTCCACAGACGGACACGAACTAACCGGGTGAGAATGAGTCGCTTTGGACAACTGCTGATCAGAATCACAGGACCATGGAAAATGCTCAACAGACAACGAACATAGGGAAGATATGCGAGAAGGTTTCCGTTCATCTGGGAGCTTCTGGCAAGCAAGCCGCTTACCCAAACTGAGAATAAGGACAAAGATGAAAGGCAGGAGAGAGGCATTACAATGCCTCGCGACAGACGGGGAAATAAAACCATGCCAAATAAGATTTCGCAGATTCATTGAGTTGACAGGGCCAAAGAACAGGCGAAATAGAAGCAAACATTTCTTGCCACACATATTTTCCAATGTGAGTGACATCAGCAGATCTTTCATTGTGTTAGGACATTTAGGATTGAGAGTCCAGTGCAATCCACTAAGTGAACCTTCAATCAAAGCGGTCAAACGTTGAAGCAGCAAAACTTTTTCGACTACATTCTCGCGAGAAAGACGAGTGTGGAGTTCCAAAAATTCCACCGGATCAGAAAGCCATTCAAACAGATGGAATTGACTTCTAGCCAAATCGACAGTTGTAAAAGTAGCAAAAGAAGCGGTAGATGATAAGATCAAGGGTGAAACTTCTGACAGTGCTTCCGAAAATTGACAGCGTGAGAGGGGCGTTACAACAGCATCTGGTAGCTTTTCGAAATCAATCAAAAAATCACCGTGCTCATTTTTGCCGGGGTGAGAAGCTAAATAGGGAATAGTGAGTAGCGCCCGGGCATTATCGGACAAAAAGTTTTCCATGTACGCCATCAGTCTCAAAAATTAGGATCAGCAACAAGGTGTGCGCGCCGTGGAAAGGAATTCACATACACTCAGCGGTTTATCGAACAGCAGCCGAGTAAAATTCACTGAAAATCGACCGAAAAAGCGTGGCATTATTGCATTGCAAAGAACATCTAAATGGTCTTTGCTGGCAAGTAAAACAGAAAGTAAAAGATTTTTGCCCAAAACGGATTTACACCTGGAAATGACGATGAATTTGTGTACCTGGAAAACCCATTGAGCTATACTGGGGGTGTCCGCGCGACACTCACAGAATCTCTCATATCAGGTTGGTCAATGGGTAGAGGTCTGACAAACACAGTCCCCTGGCCCTCCAGGTTGGGGGTTGTAGCATGTGGCAACCTGTCCCGTGGAAATGGCAATGCATTTGCATTTCCTCGCTGTCTTGAGGTTAGGCTTTTGAGCCAAAGACTTTGGTTGAGGACCCTAATCGTCCTCCTGTCTAGGTGTGGGCACCCTGGCAGTATCCCAGTCCTCGTAAAACCATGACAAACACGACTAATAACACTCTCGTGCCACATCGGCCGTTGCGTGGTGCCTCGTAAAACCCAAACACGACTAATAACACTCTCGTGCCACATCGGCCGTTGCGTGGTGCCATCAGCCGGGTCGCCTTACTTGCTGCATACATACAGACGGGTAGGCGAAAACAGGCTACTGCTGACGCCTCCCTTCTTACATTTTCACGTTTTCCGTCTTCCACCCTCCCCCAACCAAATTTGAATACTTTCTCCGCAGGTCCCAGCTCTAGGACTGACCGTTTTGTTTGCCATGCATCACACTCAGCTGCAGCTTCTGCACGTCCGAGCTGTTACAACCCTAAACAC